GCCTGCGCCCCCGCCGTCTTCCCGTGCGCCCCTTATGCCCGAGGGCGTCCGGACGCGTCTTTCTCGCCACCGCCCTCCAGTAACAGCTGCCTGCTGCCGGAGACGCGCTGGTCTTTCTTACAGCTGGGCCGTTTGCCGTCGTGTACTGTGGCCTTCGTCACGCCTCCGTCCGGGCGCCGAGGTTGTCTCTGAGCCGAGTCCTGTCAACAGGACTTGCTAACGAGTCCTGTCACGGACCCTTGAGTAGGCAGCTGGCCGCTTGCGGACGCCATCACGTCTCGAGGATGCGGGTTCCTGTGGCTGCCTGATGGCATCTTCGGGGGCATCGCTGTCTGGGCGTTCCTCCTGTCCAGGGCCGTGGTGTCCGACTCAGGGGATCCTTTACTGTGTTTCAGCACTCCCTGACATTCTTTCTAGAATACGCTGGCAGTGTGTCACGCTTAGGCAGATTCAGCTCTCGGCCCCAGGAACCGGCAAGAAGCACAGGTGAGCGCCCACCGCCCTGTCACTCACTCGCCCACGTCGCCTGTGAGGCCTTCGGCAGCCGCTCCCCTCACCGCGGCAGCCCCGTGCAGGTGAGCAGGCGCCTCACCCAGCCTGGGCCTCCCCGTGAGTCTCTGACCGCAGCCGCACATTGAAGGACCCAGCCCTGACCTTGTCCGGCAATGCGTATTGTTCTGTGTCACACCGCAGTCCCGACCTCAACACCCCCGCACCCACGTCTAACGCAGCCCGGGCCGGCCACCCGACCCTGCGTGCAGCTGCCTGGGCCGAGACGCAAGCTCCTCCCTGAGCGTGGCTGGGGGAGCAGGCAGTGAGTCTCCCCGCTCCCCTGAGGACCAAGCATAGGGGAGCTGTGAGGAGGGGAGCATTAAAGTGGAGGAGGGGGCACTCCGGGTGACCCCCGCTTGCCAGGGCCCTTGTTAGCTTGGCCATTATGGACCCCCAAACTCAGCCTGAGTCTGTACAGCCCGCCTCCGGCTTGACCACTGGTCCCTGGGCCCTCACTAAGGGCGTTCCACCCCTGGGGGAAGCGCCACGCCTCCCGGCATCGAGAAGGCCCAAGTTGGCAGCAGCTTTGAAAACACTGACACCAGGAGGTGTGTGTGAGTGCCAGGCTGTCAACGATTTAAGATATGCCTGGCCCCACTTCCAGTGGTTCTAGGTCACTCTGAGTTTAAAGGAATGACTAACAGCCCTAGAAGTCTCTGGAATGAAAGCATCTGTCCACAGAACGCCGGGGTGTCGTCCAAGCAAGCACCCAGTGGCCAGGGCCCCGCCTGCAGGCTCAGCTCTGCGCATGATTAGCCAGTGACTCGCGCTGAGCACCAGCCATGACCCCGGGCCCAGAAGCCCCGTGGGAAACGGGTTGACAACCTCTGCCCGCTTCATGAACTTGTCCTCCAAGGCCAATGAGGTCGTGAGCAAAAAGGACTTAGCAAAACACGGAGGTGCTACAGAGAAATAAAATGGCACTTGTATTTCTTTACACCTCATCTGTGTTCAAAGCAGGTCAATAAATCCACAGTGCTAGGACACGACCGGGCTGTCGCCACCGGGGACGGGGGTGCGGGGGTGCTGCCTCCTGCCCTCGCTCCCCGGGCGGCCGGGCCTCACCGCAAGGGCTGTTTGCTCCTCCCTGCCGCGCCGCCCTGCGGGGCCGGGACTCAGAAGGCGCCCTCGGCCACTTCATCGCCGTGTGGACGGCGCCAAGGGTAACCCAGGCCCGGACGACTGCCGCCCGGCGTGGGCGAGGACCCCGGGCCGCCGTGGACAGGAAGGTCTCGGGCGAGGAGCTCTGCGTGCGGCATCTCCGGGACCTCGGGAGCCCTCCCACTGCGTGCTGGGGCGAAGCAAGATGGCCGCGACTCCTGGGCGCCCCCACCCGGCCTTTCCTCTTTCCCATTTGCGTCGGGATTTTATTCTTTGAAGAATGGGCCTGAAGTGTCGCGTAGGCAGGCAGAAAGGCCTCGCGCGAAACCGCTTTGACAGGCTGTGCCGGGGCGGGTCGGGGCAGGGCCGTCGAGCCTCAGAGCTGCCCAGGGCGCAGACACCGGCCAGCCGGCGCCCCACCGCCGCCGGCTTCCTGCCCTCTGCGTCGCCCCGGCTTTCGCCCCTGAGTGCTCTGAGCGGCGGCCACTCTGTGCCCTTTGCCTAGTCCCCCAAGATCTTCCTGGGAGGCAGCCGCCCACTTTCCGAGGCGCAGCCTGGGCAGGACGGGCGCACACTTGGCACGAGCGGTGCCCCATGCCGGGGTGGCCTGGGCGGCCCTCCCCTACGGCCTCCCCCAGCCCACTCCGGACTGTGCTCAGCTCCCTCCTGGCGGGTGGGGACTGAGCAGAGGCCGAGCCCAAGCTCGTGCTGGAGCCGGCCGTTTTCATCAGCGATTTAGATGCCGAAGTTTTCATTTGTTTTCTTTGGGAAGCATCTGTCGGATTGTATTCCCCTGAGCCCGTTTGGTTCCGTGGTACATCCTTTTCCAAAAGAGTCATTTATTTCTGCAGGCAGAGCTAGGGTACAGGCTAGAGGTGCAGGGTGGTGAGGCTCAGGTGTGTGGGCTCAGGCCTGGGGATGGCGAGCACCAGGGTGTGGCAGGACGGAGACCTGGCCTGGCCCCTGCGGGGGGGCAGGTGGTTGCCCGAGTAGGTGGGCCGGAGAGGAGCAGGGGCGGGGCCCGCGGGCTGTCGCTGAGATCCAGGACCTGACAAGCGGTGGCCGAGGACCGGGCCTCAGGGTGAGCGCGTGGCAGCCCCGTGTGGGGCGTCTGGGCAAAGCCCAGGGACCTGTGATTCCGCCTGCCGTCGCGTCCCTAGACGACACCGCATTCCGGACCCGGCCCGAAGACCCGTGTGGAACGTCCCCCCCGGTGGTTCCAACCTCAGCCCGTTCCGGTTTTAATTTGTACACGAAACAGACTTTCTTCCATGTCCCTCCAGGAGCGACTGCGCCCCGTGGGGTTGCTTTCTTGCTTCTCGCCAGTTACGGGCCCGACTCGGTAGCCTGAAGCCCCGCCCCACCCCGTGTCCGCTTCCCGAGCACAGGGCCTGGCCAGCGGCCTGGTCACAAGCCCCCCTTGTCACTCGTCCCCGCAGTGGTCTCCGGACACCACGTCTCTCCCCTGGGGTGCTCGGCTGGTGCGTGGCTCCGTGTTCTGGGTCCTGAAATACCCGCCCACCCCCAAGAGGAAGCCGCGGGGGACCCAGCTTGCTGGAGCAGCAGCACCTCTCCCCTCGAACTTGTGTGCACCCACGGAGCCGCCGAAGAGGAGGGGGCCTGGATGCATCTCGGAACGGCCCTGGCCTGTGACTTGGCGGGCGCGGCCAGCAGCCGGGCGGGGGGACAATCGGCGCGGCGCGGCGCTGACCAGGACGTGTGTCTCCGCCTGCACCGTGGTCGGGCTTCAGGAGAACCGAAGTCACGGAAGGAAGCCAGCGCCCCGGGGTGCCTGCGCCCCGGCGTCCCCAATTACCTGCTTTGTGGGTGTTGCTCTTCCTGCGAAGGCCGGAGTCGTTCGTCCTCACAAAGGGCGGCT